TTTGTTTGGCCTGACACGGAATTTTTTTTTTGGGTGAGAAGAGAGAAATATTTCAGTTTCTCGTCAACCCAAAGCACTATTTTTTCTCAATTCCACACTCAACTCAAAACCAAATTATTTTCACAGTAATACTTCTGAAGACTGCTGAGTCTAATTGGACCCATGAGTGGAGTTTAGGTGGGTGAGGATTGTGACTAAGAGTTCCGGACTTCAGCAAGTCAGACAATTAGTGCATCCATTGTCATATTACTCTTTCCCAGCTTGACACCCAGGCACTGGCGTGCACTGTTGCTCTGAATAAGCCACTGAACCAGCAGTCAGAACAATACAGGCTGTTGCTTTTCTGGCTGCAGCAAAGTCAGTTGTAAAGGTTACCACCTGCCATCCAACCTGCAGCTGTTCTTCACTGCCCTCATAACTGCACGTGTGCTCTCTGCCTGTGCCTCTTCTATCAACATGATCCTGTGGTTTTCAGGAACTTTTAAAAACCTGTTGTCAAAGATAAAACAAAAATTACTTGCTTTAACCACATTATTCCTGACAGCATATGCCAGGCATGAGCGTGTGGGAGAAGAATTAATATAGACGCCTTTTTAAGATAAAGAGACGTCTTACAGCAGTCCTGATGGCTTGTCCGTGTGGAAATCAGATTGCATACCAGGTGTTTTGTAAGCAGAACACAGTAATTTAAAGGCAAAATTGACCCTTTGTGACCCACACGATATGTGGAGCTAGTGCACATGTTTTTCTTTTTCTCTTCTGTGCAGCTGATGTGTTTCAGAAGTAGTGTATTTAGCTCAGATCTGCAGAAACAGGTAGTTACCTACTAATACCTGCAACTTTTCTTTCAATACCCTGATGCTCCAACAAACAGATCTGCCTTGGATCTTGCAGTGACTCATCATAAGCCATCTGATACCTTATTTTAAACCTGCTACCCTAAGGCAGAGATCAGCTGCAGGTATTTTAACAAGAAGCTGCTCTAGCTGATCCTTCATTTTAATCCGTGATAAAACTAGAACTGCCTGATCTCATGGGGAGGAAGAAGAAGACACATGGAGGAACTGTTTGTTTGCACACATAAATACAAACACATTCTTATTTTAGACCAGAAGCTGTTCCAGGCAATGACTGTCATGGCTGTGTGTACAATTATTTTAGTGTAGAGCTTCAGTTTATCCAGAGACCCAGATTCTCCAGCATCCCTACTACCAACAAAAAAGCTGGCTAGCTGGCTTCAATTTCAGAAAGAGTCAAATGGCCTTTTGGAAAAGGAAACTAAAGAAGTGGGTTTACTCACATTTTAACAGTGATCCTACAAGTAGTATGGGTACCAGTATGCCCATACTAAAGCCCCACACTTCTTGTTAATGGATATGTAAGGTATATAATGGTGCTTGAATTGTTTGCAACTTCTGTTCAGAATATGGGATTAGGAGACAACGTGAAGCAGTTGTGAGTTGTTCTTAGCAGAAGACATTAAGATGCTGCTGTTGACAAATAAGCAGAGAATATAGCATCCACTTTTTGAAAAAACCCTGCTATTTCTGTGGTGGTTTTCAGGCACTTACGGGCACATATCTATGTTTCTGCCTAATCTTTGACAGCAATAGGAAGTGCCTTGAAAGTGCTTTGAAAGGCTTGATGCTGTTTATGCAGCCATCTGTGGATCTTCACTCTTTTTGTGTGGGGTGGGACTACTGTGAGTCAGACTTACCACTAATTTCTCAAAAATAGTTATAACAATACTCAGCCTGAAAAACTAATCCTGTGAACTGTAGTTTCTGACACATTTGTGTTGGGTGGCTGAGGACTGTACCTTGGAAAGAAGAGATGCAGATGTACTCCTGCCCATCCCTCCTTATGGGTTTTACAGTATTTCAGAAGAGCAAAACTCCCTTTGTTGAGTGACACCAGGATGAGACCTGTCTCTCTACCCCATGTACTGTTTTGATGCAAGCTTTGTAGTAGTTCTGGGATTTGTTTGAGTTAGATTGGTTTAAATGTTGTTTGGTGATGGGGTAATAAAAGTCATAGACAGAGACCTACACATGATTGCACATATCTTTTTTCCTAAGGAAAGCGGGCTAGCAGAATGTTATGAGAAGGTCACTAGCAGGGCATTAAAAAGATAGGGAGTGACCATGAAATATGTCATGTGTATGTATTCACTGTCATAATTGGCCAGATTCTTAGAGGGTGTAAATGGAGAGAGCTTTGCTGGGGCACTTGGTAGGCACCAGGGAACCCAAAGAGAGAGTTAAGCCCCATTTGTGCACAGAAGGCAGGAGAAACTGTGCCCTTTTCTGCTTTTGCACTTCATGCCCTCCTCGTGAATGCAAAGGCCTGGGTGCCTGTGGACCTCATAAGTGTCAAAGCTATGGGGAGCCCTGGGGCTGTGGTCCCAGTGCCCTCCACAGTGCTGTCCCAGCGTTTGACTCCACTAGGGTTTAGGTTTCCTGCTTGGAGTCACTGCTATCTCCAAGCATAGGGGTCACTTTGTTACACAATGGGCATTGCCAAAACTACAGGCATGACAAATGTGTAATGTGGTGTCAAATGTGGAACAGGTGGGTTCTGAGTTCCTCGGGGTGTCTTTTGTCAGTGATAAAGTGAGCTTGTGCAATGTCTTTCCAAAGCATTAACATGCTGTCTTGACGCATCCGTTCCTGGCACACTAACTGGCGAGTGGCTGAAAATAGATAAGCAAAGTGAAAGGGCCAGATTTGTGAGAAAACCAAAAGATACACCAGGATTGTGTCTGGGCCCAGATACTTCAAAATGAGTTGGAGAGAGCCTTATGCTTGTCTGATAGATACATAACCAGGAAGAAATTTGAGACTGAATAATTAAAGGGATGGCTGAAGTTTCTAAGGCTGGCCCTTCCATCTGTTCAAGGAAGGGCTCAGACTTTGGTGCAGTGGCTCCAGAGCTGATGTAACCACTGCCATGATCCAGCTCTCCCCACCCCATGCTGAAGCGTGTGTTTCTGCCTCCCTTCCTGCACTTGTATGGCAATTGCAAGCTCTGCAGTAAGCTGGTTCACAGTGCTGATCTGACAGAAAAAGCCAATTGATGCAGCAAGCTGAAATGGCTCAGCAGAGACCCCAACAGAGGAATGTGTGAGCAAGGAGAGGTTTGAGTGTAGAGACATATCTTCTAGTACTTAGATTACCTTTGGCCATCATAGAACCACCTGCAGCACAACTCTCTGACAGGATACAGGGAGGAGGTAAGGCTGCTGTGTATTGTGGCTGTGTGGCTGCCTCCTCCAAGCTGCAATCCCAGGTAGCTGTTCCAGCCCCTGTATTCTAGTACATGACAAATTCCTTTGTGTCAGCTGTGGGCTGGATTGGAGAACTGAACCAACTTGAAAGAAAAATAAGTATATTTTTCTGAATTATCTTATTCACTGATCTGTTCACCAGCACGTTTGCGTGATCCTGTGAAGTGGAACAGCTCAGGGAGCAGCATGCCAATGAAGTTAGGTGAGAATGAGTAGTACAGGATGGTAGCTGGGGAAACAAAAAAGGTGGTAATACCCAGGGATGGTTTTGCCCCCAAATAATTTTAGTAAGTAATATCAAAGCAGAGATACAGAGATTGCTCCAAGGAAGTGAGTCCTGTTGTAAAATGTGTTTTAATTGATGCATTGCTAATTCTACTTAGCATCATAAAATGTAGACAGAGATTCCCTTTAAAGAATGCACTGGTGCCATCAAATTACTAGCTATTTTCCGTGGTGGAGGCTAGATCGTCTTTGTTCTGGTCTTAGAAGCTTGATCATGTATTTGTTGGGAGTTGCAGTACTGCTCAGGACACATGGCAGCCCTTTTGTATTGAAAATCGGTGGAGGCTAGATTGTCTTTGTTCTGGTCTTAGAAGCTTGTATTTGTATATTTGTTGGGAATTACAGTACTGCTTAGGACACATGGCAGCCCTTTTGTATTGAAAACATCCAACTTTCTGATCACTTGTTGCTGTGTTATAGTGTACCTACACTGCAGACAGCTGGAATAAACAGCTTCAAAAGGAGAAAGCCCCATGAGCTTGTGGAGGTCAATGCAGTCAGTACAGAGCCCCCATCTCTTTGCCAGGAACCTTTGCAACTCAGGAGGCTTGAAGCTGTACCGTCAGGTGTCTGAACTACCAAGGGGCAAACAACGTTTTGGGACATAGTTATGATATACAGTCCCCTTCAGCAGCTTGGCATTTTCCATCCCAGAAGCAATTCAGCTTCTCACCCTACTCCCCTTCTTATAGAATTTTGCCCGCTGTAGTGGCCTGAACCTCCTTCCCTTTTCCCAGCTGATGTGTCTGCCTGTTTGTTAATGGGCAGTGTATCTCCTTTTGTTCTTCTGTGTATTTTGTTAACTAACTCGAAAAAGCTCTTCCCCTTCCCTGGCTTTACCATTCCTGTGTTCTCAGACAGCAATTTCTTCCAGCTAGCCTCTGCTGATGAGATGGTCTGTACCATTAAAACAGACTAAATGAGCCCAGGCAGAATTAGTGCACAGAGAGTGCCTTGCTCTGCCATACACAGTGGCAAAGCATGGAGTTTATTAGGAGACACAGTTTGTGTAGAGGCATGGCCATGTTCTGCCTTCTGGCCTCCCTCTTGGGTGCCCTGGACTGAAAAAGCAAGGGAGAGACAGAGAAACAAAATTGCCTTGTGAGATATAAAAGAGGGAGATGGGAGATCCTGGATTGTATCTGAGTTCTTTTGAAGAGAAGGCTGAATAGATTAGGAAACGCATAATTGAATTAAAGCCACTGTTTTTTTTGGAGTAGATAGGCTTTTATCCTGGGTAAGCAATTTCCTGGTTGAGTTTTTTATCACTTTCCAGCACCTGCTCATTTCAGAGGGCGACACTCCAGAGATTACTCTGAGCCCGTGCCAACAGCCAGCATTTCTCACTCCCCTCTTGCCCGCCTCCACCCCCTGCACTGCTCTAGACACACACCCCGATATAGAATGACAGCACATTGCCACAATTTAAATGACGCTGTCTCTGCCTCTTCGGAAGGACAGATCCTCCAGAGAGCACCAGCCACAGAAACTGTCCGCCCTTGCAAAAAACTTCTTTATCATGGCGTATAAAGCTGCCCATTTGGCTTTTAAGTCGCGCTGGCACAAGACAGACGAAGAACTCTGTCGGCACAGTATGTCCTTCATCTTGCATAGGGCAATCCAAAATGACTTCTTTCAGAGTTACCTTTATCTGCTGGAAAAGCTTCCCCTGGGTGAGTAGCTGGTGGGGAGGAGCGTTGGTGTGCGTGTGTGACTGTGCTCTGGAGAGACGTATCATGTTAGATGGTAGAGTGCAGACACATTAATGACAAGAAGTAGTAGTTTTTAGAAGCCCAGCTATAGAGAATATAGTGCTAGCTAAACCTTTTGGTACTCTCTCACTCAGCTCCCTCTAATTAAGTACCCAGTTGTTTTACCTAAATACTTCACAGATCGTTAGAGGGGGTCAAGGGAGACACCACAAGAGTGAATGAATTTTGATTTGGGATTGATGGTACCTTTTTTTGTCACAGTTTAAGTAAAACATGAATTGACCTGTTGGGAACTTGGAAGGACAAATGCAAAACTAGCAGAGCTGACAGGCCTTACTTTCTGCTGCCTGATACCTGTTTTGTTGTCATTTGGTGTGTCCTTAGCCTTGTCCTATGTATTGTTTTGGATAAGTAATGATTTTTAAATTTTTTTAAAGAGGCTTTGTAATCCAGATCTCTGCAGCAGGCTGTCTAGCCTACTGTTTGTTACCTGGGAGGAAAATGCTTCTAAAATGTTTGTTTATAGGTAAATTTCAGCAAAAGCCTCTGGTACAGGATGCCAAGGCATTTTTTTTAGATGCAGAAAGTGATTTCTTATGGAAATTTGACTCTGAATAAGAATGAAAATTTCCCTGGGGCACTATAGCTAAAAAGTAGATTTTACTTGAGTTTGTATTGCATTAGCATGTCAGTTTTTAAGGGGAATTATTCAGCCTCCACTCGCTGTTAGAATTATAGGACATTAAGATGGAAAGGATGCGCTCTTTGTAGTGAATTCTTGAGAGCTGCTTCCTAATTGAAAGATCCATTTAGACGAGTAGATTATTTTACCTGATTGTGTGAAACTATACAGACCACAGTGAGAAGTCTGCTCAAGATGGTAGAATTCATGAGTCCTGTAAAGAAAAAAGGCATTTCCATGTTATCTTAGTATTTTGATGTGGCTTTTAACATATGGCAATATCTGCAGCTATTTAAAATGAAACATGGAACATAAATACTACTATCCCCAGTGAATATCCCTATCCCTAGCTGTGAACGGTGGAAAGGAAGGAAAGATGGAAAGGAAGGAAAGTCAATTATGGGTCGCTGTAATCTGAAGAAGTCTATGAAAATGTTATTCTTTCATTTGTTTTGAAAATAAACATAACATATTAGAAACTGAGCAGGATTTCCTACAATGTAACTATTAGTGTAAGTGCTAATAGATTATTTTAAGGCTAGAGGGTACCATGATGAACATCTAACTTAGAATTTCACATAAAAGTTCCTGCATCATGCTTGTAACATGACTAGGTCACAGTATATATTTATGAAGACAAAAATACCTTAGTTTAAGGTCTGCAAATGACTTAGAATCCATCAGTCCATCATTAAGCTGTTTCCAGGCCTAATTGCTTCACTCTTGTAAAACTATATTTTATTTCTTGTCTGAATTTTATTTGAATTTTCATTCCCAGCCAACAAGCTTCATAAATTGTTCCTATCAGACTATTGAACCCCTCTGCTAGGTTTTTCATGACCTGAATCATTAAAATGTCACTAAAGAATTTTACAGCTAATTGCCAGCATATCCAAATTAATTTGACTCTGTGGAAAAGGTACTGTGAGTTCAGCGTTCATGTGAACATGCAGTATGGCTGTTACTCCATGGTTATTGTCATGGAGTAAAAGTGTACATAAGGACAGGTACTGTGGGGTAGCTCATGCGCTGTGAATACACGTCCAAGAAACTTCACAGCTTGCTAGGATGTCACGGTCTGCATGGGTGGACAATCAGATGGGTTAAAAGTGATTGGGTTCTTAAAGTTGTGGTCAAATCTTGAGGTCAGTAGGGGTACTGCAAGGGTCTGTACTGGGGTCTGTCCTGTTTAACAGCTTTATCAATAACCTGGAGGAAGTGAAGGACTACTTGCTCATCATATCTGCAAATTGCAGCCAGCTGGCAGGACTTGTCCACAATTTCTAGGTCAGGACTGCCATCCAGAGGCACCTAAATAGGCCAGAGGAAAGAGGCAGTGGGAACCTAGTGAAATTCAAATTCACTGAAATTCAAAGGCAAATGCCAAGTCCTGCACCTAGAAAAGAAGAGCCTTTGGCAACAGCAACACGGGCTGGGCAGTAGCTGGCTGGGGAGCAGCCCTGCTGATAGGGCTTTGATACACAGCAATTGAACGTGAACCAGCAGTGGGTCCTGTCAGCAAAGGCCAACAGTATCCTGGGCTGTATTAACAAAGGCATGGCTAGTTGATCAAGGGGAGTGATTTATCACCTTTTATGCAGCAGTCATTAGACCATATGCATGGAGTCTTGAAGTCCCGGTGCAGGAAATGACATGGAGTGAGTTGGATGACCTCCAAGGTGGTGAGGGAACCAGAGCACATACCCTATAGACTAAGGGAATGGGACATGTTCATACAGAAGAGACAGCTTCAGGGAGACCAAATATTAGCCTGCCAGTCCCTACAAGAAGATCATGAAGATGGAGCTGAGCTCTGCACAGTGGTGTGAGGAAGGAGAACAGGAGACAGTGGCTGTAAATGGAAACAAAAGTTCAGACTGACTATGGTGGTGTGAGGCAGGAGGACAGGAGACAGTGGCTGAGACAGTAAATGGAAACAAAAGTTCAGACTGACTATAAGGAAAAACGCTTTCCCCTTGAGGACGTTGCAACAGGTTGCCCAGAGAGGTCTACAATTCTCCATCACTAGAGGCTTGTAAAACTCAGCTGAATAAAGTCCTGATGAACCTCATCTGACCTCATGTCTATCCCTGCTTTGAGCAGAAGTTTGGACTAGAGACCTCCTTAGGTCCCTTCCAACCTGGATTATCTGGTGATCCAGTGCTTTCTGTGGTGGAGAGGACAGAATGTGGCGTGTCTGAACATCTCTGCAGAATGACAGTTCAGTTCTCTGCTGAATACCAGTTCAGTTCAGAGTGCAACTGAGCAGAATTTTCCAGTTCAGTTCAGAGTGCAACTGAGCAGAAATGAACTGAACTTCTCAAGCTTCAAGACTAGATTCAGATATCTCTGTGTAAGCAGTATTAAACGTCTAAAGCAACACTAAGACTGTGACCTAGCAGGGTAGTTAAGCATGTCCTTAACCCTATACATGAATAATAACACTGAAATCAAGCTTCAAATTGAAACTTGGAGTGCTGCCCAGGGTCAGCAAGGTCAGCAAGGTAGAAGGCTTGCTTCAAGCTATGCTAACTCCATGCTCTCCCCACTCCATTGCTAGCTTCAGTGGTGGAACACTTTTAGGCATGTTTACTTAGGAGCTGAGCATATCTGGTATCACAGCCTGTTAAGAGAAACATGTCACTTTTACAGACCAGGGTAACATTTATAAATAAAAGACATGAGTAACTTTAGGCCCTGATCCAACAATGTACTTAAATGTGTGTGAATGCCCTTAAGCCCAGGGGACTTTAATGGAGCTACTCACATGCTGGAAATTATGCGTGTGTTTACATGGGCTGTGGGACTCAGTGCCAGTGGAGTGAGATCTGCAGTGGAAAACTTAAGATGATCGGTCCATAGAGACAAATATTCCCATGTGTGAGGCATGTGTCTGTAAGTAAAATTTGCTGTGGGGGTGGGCTGATGTTCGTCTTCTATAAAACAGAATTTAAATGGTTCTTGGACCACAGTGGAGAGGTGAATTCTACCCTGCACCCAGATAACAATTTTTCAACTGATGCACAAAGCAGATGTTGCATTTAAAAGCGAATACTCGGCCAAACTGGAATTAGTTCAATATCTTGCAGAAAGCAGTTGCAGCCACAAAATAATGTTCACAAATAAAAACTTCAAAAAAATTATTTGCAACATTTACTTCTGCCAGGGAAATTTAGCTGAGTAAACCCTGCAACCAAGAACTGTAAGACAGTCTACTGCAGGTTGGGATTGCATCCTGTTGTATGTATTACGTGGTCTGTTTATCTAGAGTTTTAGATCAGATGCACTAGGGAACAAAATTTTGAATGGATCCATAAGAAAATATTAGAGATAATATTTTGGACTTTGCAGGGCAAAAGGGCTTGGGTATATACTCTCTGTCTAGTCCAGGGGTTAGCATTCAGCTGTAGATCACCACTCTGCATCCAGACTGTGTTTGCAGAGACTGAAAATTATTAACATCTCATGACTATGGAGTGACCTTTAGGGCGCCAGTTCCTGCTCTCAGCCTGCTTTTGCAACGGGTTTTTTTAGCCATCTCCACTGGGGCACTTGCCAGCAGATTCAGCTGAGAGACCAAGTGTGCCATGAAAAAAGTTTCTTCTTACTTTACTAGAAACACATTTCTAACCTTAAACCTTACAAGTGACCTGCCTTAACACTGAAAACCTTGTCTATGAAAGACAGCTGCTCCCCCCGTCCCCAGTCTCTGAGAGACTTGTAGCCTCCATCATCCTGTCCTGCCTACGCCCTACTTTACAAAGTTCATTGAAATCAGGCTGCATATCTCTAACAAGTATTTCATTTCCTGATGCACAAGATAGTCCCACATAGGTCATGGAAAGGGAGATGCCTCTGGCTAGACAAGTCCTGTGATGAGGTGGAGGCATGCTGGAGCAGAGCTGCAATACTAACTGCCACCAAGGACATATGTACCTCCTCACACTTCTCTTTTCGGGTAGATTCCTGCAAGCTGGCAAACCTGCCTCTCCCTCTGGTCCTGCTGCTGGAGCCTGCATGCCAGGCACAGCTGCGAGGCAGATCAGAGTTGGGGCTGATTGACTGTGTCAGGAAAATTGAGTTGTGCATTGGGAGAGTTGGCAGTGCTGCAAATATATGAGAGGGAGGAGTAATACCAAGGGAGAAAGAGGTTGGAAATCATCTGCATAGATTGCACACTACGTGAGTGAGACTGTGGGTCGGTAGGAGAAGACTTTGGGTACAGTGCCACCCTGTACTTCAGCCCGTATCTTTGCGTGCCTTCAGGTGGGGGAGTTGCATGAAAAGATATTTGCAGAGTTTGATGGGTAGAGAAAATCCTATGGATACTGAGACCAGAGCTGGTTTCAGATGCCAGCACGTAAGGCAGGGCTCTGGGGCCCCAGCTGGCCCAGGAGGAGACCAGTCAGCTGTTGTATGCATGCAAGTCCCGGCAGGCATTCTGCAAGCCTGGTGCTGGTCTGGTTCTGAGTGAGAAATCTGAGAGCACACGCTACAGATCTGATATCCTGAACAGCATATCATCCCCACATGTTGCCTTGGGTCAGGCTCATGTTTTGAGTAGAAGGACTCAATATTTGTTGTTCATGCTGCCAGCTGCCTGCAGCACCCTGCCGTAGTGTGCAGACAGCCTGTAAATGTCTTTCTTGTCAGTCTAACAGAATGGGATAAATCCCTTGATAGGTCCCTTGATAGGTCCATTAAACAAGCCCTAGAAATCTTCACTGGACTCTTACCTGGAAGATCTACGTCCCTTGATAGGTCCATTAAACAAGCCCTAGAAATCTTCACTGGACTCTTACCTGGAAGATCTTGCAAAGCCAACATGCAGGGATTCAGTTCTGTTCACCAGACCAGGCTGGCATCTGAAATGGAGAAAAAAGAGACACAGAGTAAACAAGATGGTGCCACTCCTGGGGAAAGATGGAGATCGTTTATTGGAGGAATCACAGCCACTGATGAGTCTTTTTCCCAAGCTCTGGAAGCCACCATGGCCAAGTTATGCTGGGGATTGGCTGCTGCCCCCTTTGTATTAATTTCTTCAGCTAAATGTTTTCTTCTGAGTATGTGAATATAATCAGTGGAGTGTGTAAAACTCCCAGGTTTGACCCTTGCTGGGCTCAGTGCTTCTTGTGGTATAAATTTCTCAGGCATAACATAAATGTGTAATGGATTAAAGCTTTAATAGTATCCGTTCGGCAGTTGACTTAAGCAGGTGATGACAAGAGGGGCTGGTAATGCTGCTTTTGTTGGATGAAGGATATGCTGGGCATGCTGCTTATGTGTAACCCAATAGCACTATTCTGTTCCGAGTGGTCCTTGGTGGTAATTATTCCTCATCCTACTTCCTTTGTCCCCCCCTCATTTGCCTCCAAAATGTCATTCTCCTGCTGAGGATGGGCAGGCACACACTTATCATTCCCTGCTGAGCTTGCTTGCCCTCAATAAATACATTCCAGGCTTATATTCAGGGCCTCTGGCCTAGCTCTCATCCTCTGTGTGGAGGGCCTGTTCCCCAGCCGGTATAAGCAAGGCATGGCCTGTTCATACCCTTCCTAGGGCGACCAGCAGTGCTCCCGTGGATATTTAAAGATGCAGTGACAAAGCACTGCTCCCTGGTCCTTCTGTGTGCGCAGCTGGCAGGGAGCTCTCCATTTCCATTGTCATTAACCCAGAAGATGTTTGCTGCCAGCTCATTTCCAGTTCCTTAAGCACGCTGGGAATCTGGACTCACACTGCAAGGTGGTGCTCGCAAAGATTTGTTCCCAGTGTGACTCCGTCCCTCCTCATTGCTTTGCTATCGTAGAAGGCCTTGTAGTTGTGTTTTCCTTGGAAGGTCTGTCTGGGAATAGCTGCGTGTCATACACACACAAAAGTGCCTGGACACCTGTATGTGTGCAGGAGATAGTAAGAGGTTCTGGTTTCCAAGCAAACTGTTTATGGCCTGCCTCAATCCAAACTTTGGAGCTGCAAAACCTATCTACTTTTGATATGGTGATGCACATTGTGTATAGAAAAACCCAGGAGGCAGACGATAGACCTCAGTTTTTTAAAGAATAGAGGAAAATAGCCTTTCACCCAGCAAAGCTCACAAGTTTTAATAGAACAGCTTCAAACTTTTGATTGCTGTATATTACCAGCAAAATAGCAAAGCATGGAAAAGAAACATACAAGCCTCTGGCACACAGGAACTTTCCAGTATATCACCCACTGATTATCTTGCTCCTTGATCTGTGCCAGATGACAGTTTAGACCTGTCTCTTCTAAATTGTCTCCCTCCCCTGTATACTCATTTTGACCTGAGACTACCATCTGCTCTGTGGTTCAGCTTACTTGTAGTGCCACGGACCGTACAGTATCTCTAAAAATAAACCAGAGCAAGCGCCTCATTCATCCACTCTCTTCTTGGTGCACTCTCCATGCAGCTGTCAATGGCTAGAAAGCATACATGGAAATCTGCAGAACAGATAGGTTTGTGATAGCAGAAATTATGACCCTGCATAGCAATAAATGCCGCCCATAGCTTTTCTGGGAGCAAATCAAACCCCTTGTTCTCTTTGGCATGTATGTTCACTTCAAACTTGAAATGAATTTACTGATGTGAAAACATAGTGTGATGACAAAATCGATGTCTGAGCCTGGGAGGCACTGAATTTGCCCAAGGGGGCTGTGTCACTAAGGTCTTGCAGGATTAAATTCAACACCTTTCTTTCCATCTTTGCTTTAAGAAGCAGAGGTTTGGTGATTTGAAGGCTCAACTTAAGTTTATAGATCTTGGTCATCACTCCTCCAGAGCAATAAACTAAACCACGAATATCTATCATTAACAATAAAATAGTGATTTATCTGCTTGCAGTGAAACTTTACGCTTTGACAAGTCAAGTTATCAATGGGGAGATGCAGTTCTACGCCAGGGCCAAACACTTCTACCGGGAGGTGCCAGCCACAGAAGAGGGCATGATGGGAGACTACATTGAGCTCTCCAATACAGACGTTGAATCCTCCAGGGAGTTTCTCAGGAAGTTTGTTGGGGTGAGTCATTTAATCCCATCTTCTGCAAGAAACAGTGGTGGTGTGTCATAAATGACATGCACTGTGCCCAGTCACATATATTTAAAATGGCACCATATGTCGCAACTGACTGTCATTGGGTCTAGTAATGTGTTCTGCCAGGTCATGCATCATCACAAACACACATTTTGCCTGGCCTTATGTCATTGTTTACCTGGTTTGCATCCTTTTTCTTACACTCCAAAGCTGCAAAGAGGATTGTGTGAGGAATTCTTGTAGCTGTGTTTGGGTAGGAGATTAATTCTCAGAGCAGGTCTGGGACCTTTCATGATAAAATCCTTGCTGGCTTCAGTGGGAGATTTGTCTGTGCAAATTCCTGCAGTCCATTTGGGAAAACAGCTGAGACTAAATGCCAAGTTTCTGTTTTGCTTATTTATAGATATTTCTGAGAATGCTGCAACAAAACCCAGCCCTTATCCTCCTCCCCCCAAACATTAGGAGTATGTAGAATAAGCTATCCATTAGGAAAATATTTTCTTGAACATTCAAGTGTCACTGGGGACATTTGCAGACAGATTTCTAAAGGTCTGTGAACATCTTCAAAGGTCTGCTTTGACCTGAGAGGCAAAGAGATGCCAAGTGGGGTTTTAAAAGCACCTACAGTAGCAATATCACTTTGGCACTTAGGTTTCAAAAAATCCTGTTGATGCCTAAATGTGTCTGTGGGAATTTGCAAATCTTTAAAAGTGTGGCCTGACGGTTTTCTGACTGCCCTTCCCTTTTCCCAGTGGAAAAGCCCACTAAATTAGCTCAACAACAGTATTAGATGCTCAAGAGCCCACAAAACTAGAGGAAAAAACAAATTTCTTAAGTTATCCCACTCACAAAATGACTAGTTCTATATAATGCTACCAGAGATCTTTCATTTTCTGCTCAAATGTACAAATTTGGAATAGCCAGATGACCTTTTTATGGTCTTAATGATCCACTGTGGAAAAAAAGCTCAATAGGTTAATTAGATGTTGTGTATCAAAAAGGGCAGTTTAAATGGATTGGGATGGAAAATGAGTGTGGCTTAACAACAGATAGAAATCCTTACAGCAGTGAAGGGCAACTGATGGCAAAGTTTGCTGTGCCTGACAGAGGGAGGCTTTTGGAGCAGTGAGATGGCAAAACACAAGTGAACAGCTATATATTTTTTAATTAACCGTCATTTGTATTAATGCTAATGGAAAAAGGCTTCACAAGATTTCAAAGCCTCTCTGCATCAGCCTTTCTACAAACACAAAATAAGAAAAAAAAAAAAAGTTCAGCAAGGCAGCTGAAGCTGATGGTAGAATGGCATTTTCAGAAAAAATTAAATGCAACTTACAAGTCTAGAGCCAGCTCAAGGCATATTCTGTAAATTTTACTCAAATCTTGTTTTAAGGACATTTGTAGAATTCAAGTGGTGCGTAAGCTTGTACTCAGGGACAGATTTCACGCTTCCTAGACATCGTAGATTCAGTTTCCTGAACGGCAGGTTTGTATCACGCTGTTACACTTTCTCATCTCCAAGACCCGAAAAGGAAAGAAGTACAGTCTGTAGCAGAGTTTCACATGCCAAAGAGAGATCATACCCAATGCATCAGGTGTGATGACAGATACAAAATACTCCAGAGCAGTGTTTCTACTCCTATTATTAGCCAGGGATAGAAAGGATACTCTGAATGGCCAAGATCAAACAGGGCAGGGGGAAAAGGGGAACAGAAAGGAATCTGCATGTTTTGCTAATTCTGATTTAGTTTATTAAAGCCTGTCCTCTCTTGAGATACAGTCAATTGGTTATGTTACTTATGGTTTATTTTCCTTTCTTACTACTGCAATTTGAATCCTACTCAACCAGATACAAATATTTACTGGCTTTCTGTAGTACTGCCTTTATTGTACAGCTAATTTGAGTTGTGGCTTCCCAAGTTTATGGCTCTATGAGTAATTTTTTTTTTCCAATAAGGTGATCAAGATAGAAACAAGCAATTTGCTTCACCCTAATATAAACTATAATTTCATTTTTAAAGAAAAGTTTAACAAAATCAGAAAACAGGAAAATGAGTTTCAGATCAACTGAACATACTTCACTTAATTTCTTTATTGTTTTACCCTCTGAAAAACTTTTCCCTTTGTTTTCAAGAGTTCAAGTCAGTTCCAGAATGAAAAATGCTGTTTAGAAATGAAAAGTTGACAAGTTATTTTTTTTTCCTTGAAAGTCGTGAAAAAGAAGTATCTTGACATTTTCAACATTCTTTCCCAGGTTTTTTGGCTATAACTATTCTCTAGATTTGAAATATCAATTTCACAGAGAGTTTTATTCTTCCAAAACTTTATTTTCTGGCAAAAACTAGTGCTCCTTAAAAAACAGTTGCCCAGTTCCACTCAAATTACCCCTCCTGAGTTAGTTTGGCTGGTGTGGAAATGCCACACAGTGACATTTCCCTTACATGACTGATGTTGCATACCTTCATGTATGGCATTTCTTAGCATGATTCTTAGCACCACTGTAAACTGAGCTACAGATTTCTTTACCGTTGGAGAATTTATCTTGCCTGGGCACATGGAAGGAATTACAGAAAGGACTAAGGACTTCACTTGTATTTTAGCCTGTCTCCTTCCCAGGCGAGTCAAACTGAGTTAAAAGTGCCACTGTGCTCAAGTTAAGAGGTTTTATGTGTGTGTGGGCAGAACTCAAACCAAGAGCAACATTACTTGAGCCAACAGTGCTGTTCAGACAAGCTACAGTCTGTCTTAGGTACAGTCATACTTGAAGGGTTATCAGCAGAGCTATAACACCGCATATTTATGGCAATGTATTTATGCCAGTTAAAGCTTTGATGTCCACATAGACACTGTGTTTTCAAGTGCTTATCCGGAGGTGATGTGTTAAGAAAAGAAATAAAGAAAACAAAGAAACCATTACTTTAGAAACAGTTGTGAGCTATAGGTGTGTGAAATAATACAGATGGAGATTATATTAACTTTATAGCTCCTTTTTTGCCCTAAACCCTTTTTCCCTTTCTTGCCCTCAGTTCACCTGCCTGATTGGTTACTTGCAGAATGAAAAGCTTCTCAAAAGTGAGTTTTCTCCTGTTTGATCAGGGGGATGGAAGAGACATTGTTGAAAAGATGGGTTTTGTGCTTTGTTTTTAATTTAGAAAGAAAACCACTGTGATTTTTTTCTATTTCTTGAACTCCAGTTTCTTTTTTACCCGACATATCTACACCGCCTTCCTGTCCTTCCAAGACCTGAAGTAGCATCAGGAACATATTCCACATCTCTTTTATCCCTAAGGAAATTTGTGAGTGCCCTATTTAGCTTTACAGAAGAATTTTTGTGTGTGTATGTGTCCTAAATGATAGTGATTCTGAGTAGTGGGAAGCAGGTAATCAGAGGAGCAATCAATCTTAAATTCTGAAGCCAGTTCTGGCTTAAAATTTTCACTTATACTATTTTTTTAAAGAGTCTGATTTTCAACTCAATTAGGCTTTTGGGAAAATGATTGCCTTCCAAAGCAAATGTTAATACCCTGTCAAAGCTCTGAGCACTTCCAAACTGAAAATATATTAGCTGAGCATGGAATTATGTCAACATTTTCATTACAAATGGAGCCGTGGTGCTTCACAGGGCTTCTCAGCTGACTGCCTGATGATCTTGCTCCCTTTCAGTGAAATGTGGGATCAAGCTTCGTCTCCCATGATTGTTTCTTTTCCTACTTGTTGATAGCAGCAAATGGAGATGTGTCATCAGAGGTCCTTGCTGTGACACATCATGGGAGATGAACTCCCTGTTTCAAGTGAGGGACTGTGACTGTAAAGAAGTGTGGCCAGCAGGTCAAGAGAGGTGATTCTGCCCCTCTACTCCCCACTCGTGGGACCCTACCTGGAGTACTGTGTCCAGCTTTGGAGTCCTTGGCACAGGAAGGACATGGACCTGTTGGAACGAGTCCAGTGGAGGGCCACAAAGATGATCAGAGGGCTGGAGCACCTCTTCTATGAGGAAAGGCTGAGAGAGTTGGGGTTGTTCAGCTTGGAGAAGAGAAGGCTCCAGGGAAACCTTATAGCAGCTCTCCAGTACCTAAAGAGGGCCTACAGGAGAGGTGGGGAGTGACTCTTTTGTCAGGGAGTGTAGTGGTAGGACAAGGGCTAACAGTTTTAAACTGAAAGAGGGGAGATGTAGATTAGATATCAGGAAGACAATCTTTCCTGTGAGGCACTGAAACAGGTTGCCCAGAGAAGTTGTGGCTGTCCCATCCTTGGAAGTGTTCAAGGCCAGGCTGGATGGGGTTTTGAGAAACCTGGTGGGAGGTGTCCCTGCCCATGGCAGGAGGGTTGGAACTTGATGATCTTTAAGGTCCCTTCCAACCTGAACCATTCTATGATTCTATGACTATAGGTTCTTTGAAACACAAATGTCAAAGAGGTTATATGACTTTCTGTTGAATTCCGTTAGTTGCTTTGATAAATCATCCTGATTTTCTCACCAGCTTTCTCAAAGATTTTTACTTAATCACATCACGGTAGGCCTGTTTATATCTGCCAGCAAACAATATGGAAATCCACCTTGTAACGATCCAAGACACAGTTTTTTCTCCTTTCATGAGCTTCTTGTTTCAGCTTAGTCTGGTCCTTAGTAAAAGCCACATGCCCCTAAGTGCAGCCTGTGAATGAGGAATGTCTCACATTTTCTGGCTAAGTACAAACAGGTAGTCTCCAGAGTCCAATAGGGTTGAAGGCCTGTGGACTCTTGCACACATCAGGAGATTAATCTTCCTAGGTATACAAATTGGGACCAGCAGCCCTGGAGACTGGTGAGAGCCTTTGAGGTCCTTGTGCTCTTTCTACAGTTACTCTGTGTAACCAGATGCTCAGCCAGGCTATTCATAGTCATGTCATTGACAGTACTGTCCTTTGACCTTAATAATCTACTGAATTACCCACTGAAGCAAGGCCAAAAAAAGCGGTGAGTTACGTGATTTATGCTTGGTCATTACAGAGGGGGTCTCCCAATAAGCAGGAAGAGCAAGACTCTTCCTGGGTTTATTTCCTTTAAGAGCAGTGAAGTTGCAGCAGGGACTTTGGCCCATAGCTTTCGCTTCAACACTCAGTTCCAGGGACAGGGAAAAGGTGTTTACATTTGCTTTTAATATATTTGTTTAACAGATAACTTTGGCCAGGGGAGCTCCAATCCCACAGTCAGTGCATGTACAGACTTAAAATTTCTGTTTTACAGAACAGCAGTAGGCTCTTAAGAGCCTTTTTATAGCTAGAATGGAAGCTTTAGGGGTGAAATACAGCTTTCATTATAAAGCTCCTTTTACAGTGACTCATTATTTTCTCATGGACATAGCCTTTGTTCCACATTTTTTCATGTCTGATCTCTGTCCAGAGATTATATTTATGAAGAAAAAAAGACCAGCTAGGCAAAATCTACTCAATCATCTTTCTTGTCTCTATGCCTAAAAAAGAAATTCTGTTTATGCTCCGGTCCAAACTCTTCCAGTTGTCATAAGTTACCTACAACTCCAAGATCTTTGTTGAAACATGACTTCTTTTGAAAACTGCACTCTGATCCCAAGGATGCTGTGTGTCTGCAGAGATGTCCATGGTCACCTCGGGAGTTCTGTGCTGCAGAAGTTAAGTTTTGCATGCAGTATTGGTATACACTTACTTTTTTGTTAGGCCCTTACAGGGCTCAGAATGAGTCTTATCTAATCTAGCCACGTAGTTGGCTGCAAGGTATGAATATTTGACAGGTAAAGTTGCAAGGACTTTACAAAGACCAGTGGATCTTCTGAGAAAGCTAGGAGCTTGTGAAAGATAATGTCTCTTCTTATAACAAGCAAAAACTTACTGTATGGAATAAATGCAGGGCTGCAATGAGGAAGTCCCATCAAGAGCAACCTGGGAACACAGCAGCCCAGCTCAGCTCACACATAGGTACCCAAAGCTGTATTGATACTGTCCTAGGTTCTTGTTAATCTTGCAACAGCTCTGCACAAGTAAGGAGACAAGACACTAGGCTTGGTGGACTAAAGTCTATAGGGGATAACACAGTTGCTGTGATCTTTCAGGTGGTATTTTTCAAATTTCAAATTATTTTCTTGTATCCCACAGGGGGTGGGGAAAGCTGGCACCAACCGCGCCCTGGACTGTGGCTCTGGGATAGGTCGGATCAGCAAGCATGTCTTGTTACCAGTTTTCAAGAGCGTGGAGCTGGTGGATATGATGGAGAATTTCCTGGCTGAGGTCCCGAACTACCTGCAGGGCAAGGAGGACAGAGTAGAGATGTATTATTGCAAAAGCCTCCAGGAATTCACTCCAGCCCCACAAAGATATGATGTCATCTGGATTCAGTGGGTTTCAGGTTAGTTCAGCATGATTCATCCAGCCCAGCATCTCAGAGAATCATACAGCCTGTGCTAAAGTTTATGTTAAAAGGAGGTTCTCAAAACTTTGGGACTGCTTCCTAAAATCTCACAAGAGACTTCTAAGAGTTCTCCTCAGCCACATGCATACTGGGTACAAATCAAGATGTTTTTTTTCAGGTCATGTACTGGAGGAAGTTGCATGTTCTTGGGCAGTAGTCTGCATGCTAATGTGCAGCTGAGGAATAGGCCTTATATATGGGTTTTCTTGAGCAGGGATCCTCCTTAGATGGCAGTGCTTCAGACAGATATATGGGGTTGACCTCACCTGTGAGCAGGGATATCTGAATCTGATGATTATCGAAATTTGGGGGTATTTCAGGAAACAATCTGAAAAAAAAGCCATAGTGAAATCACCTATACCTATAAACCAGATCATGTCTTACACATGCACTGGTGCTTATCAAACAGGTTCCCTTAGCTATGTCCCACACTACCCCTTTGTATAAAAAATATGAGCTTCTTCTCTGCAGCCACCCCAGTGAATGCCCTGCAGCATTAAGAGCAGCAGACTGGTGATCAGATAATGTGGGCTATGTTCCTCACCAAAAAAAAAAAAATCCTTAATTTTTTCTAGGAAACCTGCTGCAGTGCCTAACTGTCCTTCCAGAAAGAATGTTTTATCCTAATCTGTGAACCTAGGTGTCCATGGCACAGTTTCAACTGGCAGAAGTCATGATTTCAAAGCACAAGAAGAGGCCTGAACTCTCCAAAACCCTAGAAACAGTTTCTTGCTAGGCAAAAAGAAGCTAAAGGTAGAGAGATTAGCACAGGAGATGGTTTTATTCAGGAACACTTATACATAGTCTTAAAAACTAATGAAACTGAGCTGCTTAGAATAGGTCTTTACTGCTGTACAAGCAAATTTGCCTTTGTGTTTTTGTTTTTCTTGAATAATCAGTCATTGTGGTAAATGTAGCTCCTGGCTCATCTTTTGAGCAAATCCAAGTCAACATGAGACTGAATGAGCTAAGACTTGTCTGAGGCTGTGCTGATCAGCTGTGGCTGCTAATGAAGGGAGCATATGCCTTTTCTTTAGCATAGATACAGATCTGAATCTCCTTCCTCCATCAATTTCAATGAAATATGACATGATCCTAAGTATTGATCAAACTTCTACCCCTATCTTGAATTTGGCTGAAATATGCCAACAAGCTCAATGCCTTTCTGGTGGAGCAAGGGCAGGACTACCTGGTAGAGGGCAACACCATGAAGATCTCATTTTCTTAGGAAACTAAGCTAAAACCTGAGTTAAGAGAACGTATAGTTCCAAATTAGGTGTTCAGAAGCTTCAACGAATCTTGCCGATGCAGTCTTGATTTCTCTTATGTGTGCATATGAGCCCAGGCTGTTATTTATGAAAAAATAAAAATGCAAATTTACATTTAATGTAGAAATTACCATTTTTTTTCAACTTGAAAGGTATTCGGCTTTAGGATTAAGGACTTTTTTCTCTTTTGGGGTGGGGTGGTTAAAGAAACCTGACACTCTATATCAAAATGTGGTTTTTGAAATAACAACTTCCATTTATAAAAGTTTAAATCTTCCATCAAGAAAACTAAATATTTTGACTAGAAAATACAAATGATTATTTTTTTTCAAGTTTTTCATTCAGTTTCTGACCATCTGTCCTTGTTAATTCATTTTACATGTTTCACGTGTGAGAGTTCTCATTTTGCTCTTCTCTGAGCCCTGCACTACTTATCCCACCATAACAGAAGTACTGATCTTTGAGAAGGAAGGATAAACAACACAATCTCAGTAACATATTGGAAAAAGTAGTATTTTTAAATATATATGGCATATACAGAAATCACAACAGTATGGGATAATATAAAGAGTTTACTTGGCAGTTTGGAAGGTTTTGCATTCCTCACTGCATTGTTGATCAGGAAATCCTGTGATGGGTACATTATATTACACAAAGTTGTAGAGATTTGTAGCATTAAAATTCAGAAGGGACTTTTAAAGTATCTAGTTTGACCTACTGTAGATCACAAGCTATTACATTCATTCCTTTACCCTTGTACTGAGCCAGTAGTTTGTGTTCAATTAAAATGTATCTTGAGAAATTCAACCATGCTTGATTTGAGGACTTCAAGAGGTGGTGAACACCACTTCTGTTGGTAGTTTCAAACGGGTAATTACTTACACTGTTAAAACAGTTGTCACTTATTTCCAATATGAATTTGTTTGGCTCCAGCTTCCTGCCACTGATTCTTATTATGACTTTAACCACCAGATTAAAGAACCCTTCAGCACCCAGTATTTTCTCCACTATTCCCATTGACTTCTGTCCACATCTGTTCCTACTACTAATATGTATCCTAAATATTGATTTGAGTTTGTAACTGCTGATCTCATTGATTTGTGCAAGGTTTCATGATTCAATCTGTCAGGACTAGAACTTTTCCTGCAATAAATAGGGTATGGAGACTCAGATCAAGGCACCATTCTGATGTGTACAGGGGGAGTCTGTTTGAATGGTTAATAGTGATCTATTTTCCGTCTTTTCATCTGTAGGATATCTGACAGATAAAGATCTCCTGGAGTTTCTCATCCGGTGCCAGAATGGCTTGAAGGATAATGGTGTTATCATTCTCAAGGACAATGTAGCCAGGGAGGGCTGTATCCTGGATTGTCTGGATAGTAGTGTGATCCGAGACCTGAACATCCTCCACAGCCTCATTGAAATGAGTGGACTCACCATCCTACAAGAGGAGAGGCAGGAGGGATTTCCTGAGCAGTGTGTCCCTGTCTGGATGTTGGCCATGCAGAAAGGCCCTGGCCATTCCTGATTGCGTAGTGAACCTGCAGAGACTGGACTATGGATGAACCGCAGGACTGGGAAGGAAAAAATCATCTATTAGAATCCTCCTAACTATGCACTGCTATGACTACAAGTCTAGGGCAGCAACTCCTAAAGGATGAGGAGAGAATTATGATTGAGCCAGCTTCTCCAGGGAACAGCCTGCTTCTGAATCCTGCCTGCTTCATTGTTCTCTCCATTTTAAAAAGTCTTTCTAACAGCTCCTTGTCAGATCTCTCTTTCATTAAGGAGTTGATACTGGACAAAACTCAACTAATAGAAAATAATTAGGTCTGAAGTTTCTGTAGTGGCTAATACATTCTAGGGTGTTCTGTATGAGGTGTTAACAAATAAGCCTGTTTTTTACTATGGTGCTTAAATCTTTCTGGAATTTAAGAAGGATCTGTCAGATCACTGAAGCAGGGAATTCAGATAACTTGTGGAAAACCTAACCCAAATTCTGACTGTGATCACTATCTGTACTTTAAAATATTTAAACCGAAAATGTAAGGAAGGTTTTAGCCATCTGTCGGCATCAGCTGTGGTTTGTTTTTTTTTTTCCATTTTTGTCAGTTTGGATAAAAAGACAACCTGGTTAATTTTACATTTTTAGGAACTTCTTTATCCTCCTGGTGTTTCTGTCATGAAACAATAGTGGAGCATAAGGGTTTTCACACTCCAGGGGAAAACTTAGATGACAAATATATGCATGTTTGCATTGAAATTTTGTGAAACGATTGCCCCACAAATTACATTCTGGAAAATATTTTTTCAAAATGTTCACAGTGGAAACCACTTGAAAGCTTCTCTTTATTATTCATACCACTGTAAATTTCTTTCTTTCCCACATTCAGAACAAGTCTGGCACCATATGCAGAGCTAATGGGATTTCATGGGGTGTTAATAGTAAGACTGTAAGAAGAACTAATACAGTATTGTATTAATTAACAACTGTACTAAACTGCAGAGGGTGTTAGTGGAACCCAAAAGCATCTATGATTTATATTCAAACAGCAGCTGTATAAGCCTGGATTTGAAAATATTAACACGCATACCATCCCCTTAAGGCTCACAGAAATGACACATTAAGCTCCTTGTATTCTTCATATAGGTGCAGAAAGTGCTGTGGGAGGACAGAAGTTCATTTTGCAAAAAAAAATAAGAATTTGAAATTCTGCTTCATACTGAATGAGGACAGGGAGGGAGAATTTTGAAATTCTTTATGAAGGAAAACCACACAACCACAGAGTTTTCCAAGTTGATTAAAATTTTTCATTCAGACAAAATCAAATGTTTCTTTTGAATTGAACTTTTAAAATAATTTGCATTTAAAATATTATTAAATGCAGTAAAGAGAAAATTAAATATGGCGTGTTCAAAATTTTAGAAATTAATGATAACATTAGAATGGACTGTTCTGACTGTCAGAATTTTTATCATGTTTTATTCCCCTGAAATGCACTTCTAGCAAAACTTATCAGACCTTTCAAAGAGTTGCATTATGACAGACCTCCATGTTCTGATGGAAAGAGGTTCTATAAAACATCCTCCACATGACTGTAGGCATAATTGTCTGTGTCAAATACTGTCATCTGTGTTAGATTAACTCACATAGAGGCCTGAAGATAACAAGATCAGGGAACCTCTCAGCTGGATTTTAGTACGCTGTGCCATCCTTTGATAACAAATCTCCAGTTTTGGTTTTAATTGCATAACTCAACTTCTCTAGCAATATGGTTGCATATGTTGAGAATTTCCAATTTAGAGGGCTTCCTGCTGTCAAATCTTATTCAGTAATTGTTCTCTTAATATGCCATTGCTAATTGTAGCATTAAGGAAAACAACCTTGGTGATTAGGTGAATATTCTGGTGTGTCATATAACCTAGAAACCTATGGTTCCCATGACACAGATGCTTCTGGGATTTTTTGGCTAATTCTTCCATTCTAATCAACTGGTAATGGACGTAAATTTAGTATATAACATTGTTAAAAACCCTAGGTGAACACTTACGTTCTGGAATTGTCGGCGGAACTAATCCCCTATAGAACTGTATCCCCTTTAAGCCACTACAATGCTTTCATTCTGCCAAGGCTGCTAAAACCTGATGTGGTCTTTGCATGCATCTGAGTACGTGCAGATATCTGAAGGAGACCCAGTCATTTGTTTTCCAGAAAAGAGGCATCTGCCCTATAGTTAGTAACACTGGTTAGCAATAACAGGAAAATATTTAAAAAGCCTTTATGTGAATGACAAATTAATTTGTCCTTCATCATTTTTTTTCTTCCAGCCAGAGACATCTGCCATGGTGCAGAATGCTTGGGGACTGCTGGAGATCCTAGTACAATCGTGTCTCTGCCAGGCATATCTGAACGGTCCCTACAATGGTGAGAGAATGGTATTGTGGAAATAGGGATAATACAAATCTAAACAGCTGCCACATCTCACAGGACAGAATATATTAGCTGTCCACTTACACACCAGAGTGAGTGCAGTTCGGTAATGAAAGATGTGGTTCCAAGATGGATATAGAACATAATGTAGTTTAGGATGAAAGGCAGAATATAAATGACTGGTATTGTTATCAGTGAAACACATTTTTCAAAGTAAAAATATTCTTCCCGTATTTTGTACATCTTTCCTATTTGAATCTCCAGAATACATATACATAAACATATAATGAGAATTGGTCCCTTAACTATGTGAGAACAGAGTCAAGTAAAATCTTAACTTAATAGGAAACCCCATATTTCATGGTTCCCACATTCCTGGAAATTAATGTTTCATGGCTATGTTGCTTCCACAGTAAAATATTAAAGCTTTTCTGGTGACATAGTGAACCTCAAGAGTAAAGAAACACAAGCCCTCCAAGGGTTTAAATGCATGAGATTGCTGCAGACTGAATAATATTTTGGTTTCCTCCTTTTCCAAGGTATAATTTAGTTCAAGAACTCCAGGTCAACCAGTGTAGGCCACCCTTAAGTGTTCATGAATTTGGGTAAAGGCCAGTCTTGGCTTAAAAGTTCAGGGCTCTCTGGACTTTACCATAGTATATAGTAATAGTAATGAATCACAAATTTAAAACAGAAGAAATCAGTGTATCAGTTGCTCTTTGGTGTTCAAAGACTGGTTAATCAACTCAGATGCTCTGCCTCAACTTTCAGGTTATTTAAACCATGCATTTAAAGAAGTCTTTAGCTCATCAGATTGCAGTGGGACTTTGAATCCCCTTTGTTTGGTGCTCATTTAAGACTTGTTCCCAATCCTGACATCGCCAGAAATTTAATCCAAGATCAAGACCCTGGCTGAGGCAAGGTTCACAGAATATTTAGGGTCCTTCAAGTGCAAGCCCTCATTCATCAATGATAGGTAATTACTGAAATTCCCAATTAGTCCTTCAATCAGATGTTTCTCCTGGGCAGCCACTACTCATGTAAACGCTTAGCTGAAGGGCAATAAAGCCCACTTCTGCCGCGTCACCAGCAAAGTTCTTGGTAAAGCTTGGTTTCCCCAGATCAGGTCCGGTGCTTCTAGTTGTGTGACTGGAGGCCAAGTATTATCTTTATTATGTGAATGTGTGGTTCCTTGCGAAAGAAATCCTCAAGCACTGGCAGTAGCCCCAAAATGCTACTGTAACCCAAACAAAATGTAAGGAAGCAATTATTACGGCAGTCTGAACAGCAATCCCAACTGTGCAGCTCCACCAACCATCAAAGCTCAAACTATTTGTGTTGTGAAAGCAACTTACACATGACAAATGTCCTTTTATTCCTAATTGGAAGAGAGAGCCATCATTTTGAAACATACCATTAAATGGATGTTCTAAACTATATTTTTTTCAAAAATACTGAAATTACCATATAAAATATTTTTAGGTTGACTTTCTTGTTTGGATGTTTATACAATCTAGTCTAAACTAACATGTTATATGAGATAATAATGTAGTACATTATATCATACTGTAATAAGTGAAGTGAAATATTAGTTTCCTACAGAATACAGTACATTCCCTGCCCCCAAATTTAGTGAAACAAATCAGCAATTTCCAGAGGAAACAGTCATTTCAAGAGGAACAGTCCTGTCAAGAAGTATTTGCCCAAGTTCTCCAGATGGACTCCATCCATTCAGGCAGCTTGCGGTGGGTTGGTCCAGGCAGCAGCCACTTTAGCCTCTTTGACAGGCAAGAAGAAGAAGCTGGCACCTCCAGAGCAATTCAGACCAGCTCAGAGCTGAACTGGCTTGGTATTTCTGACAGTCTCTCCTCTCCCACATGGTTGTGCAGCAGGAATGAAAGTGCGTCCTTGTTATAACCAGTCCAGCACCTTCATTGTTAATGTCAAACAGAAGTGCAGTGTGATCTGAGGAGCTGTGACTCTCAAAACCAGGAGAAGGCATGGACTTTGATAACCAAACTCCCATTAAAAATCAAAGTCAGGGTACTGGGGCACTACCTTAATGGGAGCAATATGTCACTGTGTAATGCCAGCTGAGAAAAGCTTTGCCAGTTATTCCACTGAGTGCCCTGAGTACCTTTATGCCATTCAGTTGTTTTTTCCACTCTCTTAATCCAGGCTCCCCAGAGCGTTTACGATGGCATATCAGACCATAGGCCTGTCCAGAGGAACTTGACTGTTATGTGTGATTAAAACCAGTTGTGTTGCATCCCATCCCTCTTCTCTTCCTTTGATGCTTCTTCCAACTTGCCAAGAAAATCCCTCCTCCACTTGCCAAAAATGATTTGTTCTCTGTGGACATCACCACATCTCACTGAAGTAAAACAGATTACCTTTGATTTTAAGAGGAGGTAATTCTGTTTATCTGAGAGCAATAACAACACGCTGTATTTCAAACATACAGGTTAATACCTGTCTCTTTCAATTGATATCAAGTAGGCACTTCCAGACCTTTGTACCAAACAAAGCTCACGTTCTCATCATCACCATAAATAACAATATTTTTATGACACTATACATCCCTAGACCTTGAAGCACGTGTTACCATTGCGTTTGGGTTCAGGAAACTGAGGCACAGAAGGGTGATCTGGGCCGCATTACAGCTTTACCTACGTGGTAACTGTGAGTCATCAACACCTCCACAAATCAGGCCACTACAAGAACTACAGAATGTTTTGCAGGCAGACATAAACTTACTCCGGTTATGCTTGGAGCAGATTGAAACAGCATGGTTGTGGTTAGCCTGCTTATTAGGCCAACCTGATACGTCATGCAAAGAGAGGGCTCAGGCTGAACATTATGCTCATGAACATAAACAACTTCTTTTCCTCTGAAAGCGTTGGAAGAACAACCTGGTGTATGTCTGCAGCAAAAATAAAGACAGAAAGTTGGTGGAAAGTCTCTCTTCCCTGTATCTCTCTTCCAAAAATGTTGAATTTGAAGGCATTTCAAACTGTTGTGGTATTTTCAGGTTCCTGAGACTAAAGTTTTTAGTGGCATTTGAAGATGCAGAAGACTAAGTGAACTGTAGCTTAGCATATACCTCTTGGTATTTTTGGATGCCTATAAGTCTCTGAAGATTTGGCTTGTAGGAGCCTCAGCTTCACACAAAACTACATTTCCAGAATTCTCCAGGAGATCAAGCCTGAATGCATTTAAGTGCCTGTGAGTGGAGGTAGGCATCTAGAGGGATTTTGAAAGCATTTGGCCAATTCAATCAAAGCTTAGCATCACTGCGTCTTTGAAAACAACTCAGGGAGATGTGGGCACCTTAAGTACAAATAATCTCACTTGATTTGAGACACCTAAATATAGATATCTCATGTAAGATAATTGTCTAGGCTCTCTTTGCAGTCAGTGGAGAAAAACTGGCCCATGCAAGAGACAGTCATGGCAGGCCCATGCATTCATCCCATTCTGGATAGAAGTATTACAGGTCAAAGCAATAGCAAAGTCCTTCTGAAAGCTCTGTTTAACTACCACTTTCCAGTGACTTGAACTGATTTGTAGGTACATTACGCCTGATTGTTCCCCTCTCCCTAACCTCTGACAGTGCCCTATGAATGTAAAATCCTGATTCAGGGGCTGTTTCTCCCAAACCTGTAGCAGGGATTCCCAAACAGTGGCACACAAGCCACAAGTGCTGTCAAGCCTCTACAAAGTGATACACAACACTTTCTGAGCAGCCCTCTGTGTGCACGTGCAGCCTGATGCTGCTGGGAGTTTCCTGCTGTTGCTGCTGCTGGGACCATACTCCAGCGTGGAAATCCTCCCACACTCCTCCAATAACAGAATAATAAACATACAGCATCATCAACTCCAGAAAGTCAAAAACCACAGATCTAGCTTCAAAATTGTTGTTTGGAAGACTTATCTGTGTATACACACATGGTTAACAGTTCTACAGATGTACATGTACTACATACATGTAGTATATATGCAGTTTCTATTAGCCAAGGTGACCTGTGGTCCTTATGTGTGGCATGTGTGCTTTTCACAAGGCTTCTGCGGCAGTGGAACAGGACTGCTATGCAATGTGGACCCCCAGCCACACAAAGAAATGGTCTGACACCATTTGCCAGGGCAGCTGTTGCTGGATCAGAAGCGGATGTCATCTGCTCAACCTGGCTGTATCCCAGTACTCCATGGCAGGATCTCTTGGGTGACAACTGGCATGTCTCACTTGTAAAACCCACTCAGATCTGCACTCGCCTCTTTGAATTAAGTTGCTGGTATCTTAAGCCTCTCGGTCATGTGAGGGTTTTGTAATGTGGTACATAGGACCAGCTAAGATGACATAATGACCTTGTGGCTCCCTTCTTCATGGTTGCACATAATCACAGGGCACACAAGGTGTGAGATGCATCTCACCTAATTTGGTCATCTAAGAGACACTTGTCTGAGGTTAAGGTGATTGTCAAGACTTCCCATGATTGTCACTGGGGAGAGATCAACTCCCAGAAAGCTTCTTCCCTCCTGCGACGGTTATCCCATATACACAACTATAGAAGGAGCCTACAGGACTGGCTTAAGTGTATACAAGTCATTCTTAGGTGTTCAAGTGAGGTGAGATGAATTCCATCTCAAATGTATGAGAATTCATGGACCCCACTGTGAGAACAGTTTTCAGTGCATTCAAGTCTGTTCTTTCTCCCACAGACAGGGAACACAGATCTGCAGCCCCAGCTGTAAAAAATATTACAACTCTGAAAGCCTCTACTGAAGAGCAAAGCGAAGGCTTTCAGAAATTACTCCATCTTGGAGACCTTATGGCATTTTCCTTTCAGAAGGCATGGGCACAGATACTCCTGAAAACTCAGTGGAGTACAAAATTATACTGATGTTTGGGTTGTACCTCCCCCAGATACACATGATGAGTTTCCCGAGGGGTGCTTTTTGCACTCTGGATTGATCAGTTTACCAATAAGCAAGGGCCAACCCTCTATTCGGTCTTATTAAATAACACACTAGTTTTATTTATGGATCAGTACATGTGTGCACTGCTAAATAAACAAGTGGCTTGTCCTAAAATCAGGGTATGATTGGCAAACTCTTAAAAATCCAACCCATAAAATAAACAGACCTCAGGAGTTACCTGTGATTTCCACCACTGCAGTGACTTCAAGGTAACAAGTCAATAAACCCCCATCAGCAAAATCCCCACTGGGATCCAGCAACTGAGTCTCTGAAGCAGCGATCATCAAGAGAAACTAAGTGACTCAGTAAAACATTAACATTCCCAGAGGAGCCATATTTGGGCTGGCTTGATTTGGTGAGAGAGGCAGCCCTGACCACTTACCAAAGGCAAAACATAGGCTGTTGAAGAGGCTTCTATTTGGACAGTGTCTGTAGAGCCCCTCTGCTCTCTGATTGCCTGTGATTAGACTATGTATCATCCCTAGCTGTCTAGATGTCAAGGCAGAGGGACCCTGAACAGGTTAGTACTTTCTCACCCTACACTAAGTCATTTTACTGCTTAGGTAGGATTCAGCCTCTGTCTTTCTGTTCTAGGTTTTGCAGATCTCCAAACTGATGTCTGATAGCGCCTTCAGTTTGCAACATGCAGTAATTCTGATTTCAATGGGCAGAGAAAACCCTGCCTTTGTCCTAATGTAGCCGAGATCTGTAACTAATTCTCTCTTTTTCTGGGCTCTTTCAGCACAAGTGGCTTTGTCCTGTCTCCCCCAGCAGTCTGCATTCTCTACTGCAAGGAGAGAAATACCACCTTACAAAAGATGGCAGAGCACATCATTGCGGTGATCCAAACCAACCATACAACAGCCAGGACAGGAGCACATACCGAACAGAAAGGGCTTAGGAACCAGTGGACTACTTCCTATCACTGCCTTCTCAGGTAGACACATCTACTTATAGTCAGGCGTTTATGGCCTCTAGCATTTCATTATCAGAAGATGTTATAACAATTGATTGATTATCTCATCGATCCTTTCTACCCCACTCTGAGGTGGGGAAGGACTCGTTAGCTTCATTGCATGTATGGGAACCCTGGAAAGCAAAAGTTACATTCGTCTTGTTTTACTTCAGCTGTTCAGTCCGACTGACTGTTACAGCTGCCTAATGATGAGGGAAGCAAGGCCTCATCAAGCCTTTTCAGTCCATCTGATGGTAGTGGACAAATCTGAAATTAGGAATATCCTGTCTCTCTCTGCTGATTAGGGATTTGGTCTGCAGCCGGGACCATATACCTAATGTTAAATGAGTTGAAACTCACCTTGAGGGAAGAGGGGCCTTAAAGAGTTGAATGCAATAGAGCAGGGAACAGAACCTGCCTCTCCTTAGTCACAGCCATATGCTTATACCACTGAGCCATTTTCTCTCTTGTTTGTGTAAACCGAGGGGATTTGGGTTTCCAGCATAGTAAACAAGGATTTAACTACTTCCTCCCTCCTCCCAAATAACTTTCCCTGAAATTAACATGGTAAACAGAGCCCTTGCTCTCAAAAAAAGGCTTTCTGCTTGGTGTTGGTTTTGTAACTGATCCTCTGCAGGAAAACAAGCAACTCAAATTTCCACTAAAAACAACCCAAGGGAACCTCTTAACAATAACATTGCAAGCAGTCTTGTACCCTGCTCCACTGTGTCCTGTGACAGACAAGTGGACAACCACCCATGGATGGGCCTGTAATCCTGTGTGATAAAGAAGCTCCAGGGCAGCTGGCAGCACACAGAGAGTGGCATAGAGCGCCTCGCTCTACCCCAGCTTTGTGCCAGGCTTGTCAGACAAGAGTGGACAGAGCAGTATCTCGCATTTGGGATCAGGAGCCAGAAAGAAGAAGTTGTAGCCTCATGCTGGGCACGTGTGAGTTGCAAAAGTGGTAACGGGAAAGGAGCGGGATGTTTGACATAGAAAGCAGGAGACTTGACAGGCTGGAATATTTTCATGCTCAAACACCCCATTGTGAGAATGGCTTTCAAATAGTGACATTTTAAGAAATACTAATCTTGTGTTTGTAGTTAACACCCTTTAAGGTTTAACTGCACTGCGAGTGTTAGAAAGTTGTTATTTCAGAATGAAAATTCTCGTGTAGCTAGAAAATGTAGAAGTGGGTCTAACCTCCCTTTGCAGATTGTCCTTCCTTTCTGTCCTGAAACAGTGAGTGCTAACAAATAGCCTGATCTATCCATAAAAGCCCAGTGGCTTTTGATCAAAGATCAAGACAAAGGTGACAAGTAAGGAGGAGGCAGTCATAAGTAGGAAACAACAAGGGGTTGTGCTACTCCTTTTGACTGGGAAATACAGAGAAATTTGTTGCCTATCACATAGTCTAGGAATGTGTGTTGGAACTGCGTCTTCTAAATGTCTTTACTTAAGGTTAGGCCTGAAAGCACAAAGCAGCTTACTTACAGCACTTTCATTCATAGGTCTCAAAGGGTGCAGTGCAGAGAGGAGCATCTGATAATCCCTACTGTGGAAGGGAAAGCAATGGCCCAGAGCATTGTATCATTGAGTAGCCGAGTTGGGAATCCCATCTGAATCAATCCTGTCTATGGACAAAGCTGCCACTTCCCTATGAAGGTAAGTTTTTCACAGGCTGAGGCTAGGTTTTCTTTGGCATGATGTGTACCTTTCCTTCACAAGGGAGCTGAGAATGACAGCTAGCAACCAGCCCTCAGCCAGGGCCTCCTCACTGCTGCTAGAGGCAGAGCAGGGCCCGCAAGGAGCATGTCTTGGTATGGTAGGACAGGAGTTCCAGCCAGGACAGCTGAGGTGAAAATCCTGCACAAATCCATATGAGACACCCTTGCAGCTCAAGACATCCATCGGCTAATCCTCCCTTTGGCAATCTCCCCGCTTACCCCTTCCATCAAAGGAGCTTGGATTACAACGGCTGCTGTCTTAATGAGTGAGACTCTGAAGGAGGCTGGTTTCTCTAGGACAAAAA